TTGCCACCAAAACCAAGCTCCTGAAGAATCCCTCTTTCTTCGTTGCCCCTCCAGGGCAACTTTCTGTCCCTTTAAGAAATGCTAGGCGAAGCGAAACCAGATTGGGAGGCTGGAGACCCAGCCTCCTATGGCCATCCCATTCCCTGCCAAACCGGAAGCCCCTTCTATTGCTGAGTATACAGAGATTTTTGACACTTTGGCCATTATTTGTTCCCCTCCCCCAGGAGCTAGTCAGGGCTCATTGATTGTGGGGATGAATACCAATTTAGTTAGGCATTTGCTCATCCCAATTTTCCCAGTAAGGAACAACTCAGTTATAGAGGATGTACATCCTGCATTGCAGTCAGCATACTGACATTTGGTGTGGGAGGAACAGGCCTCGGCAGAGGGGTGGGGCGGTTGTGGAAATTAGATCGAGCAAAGAGGATATTACAATCAGGGGAAGTGGCATACTTTCAGGTCTCCGTCAGATTAGATTGGGAACAGTCTCATCCTTGAATCGATCCTAGAAGGCAGAATGCCAGAGTGGAGGTAATTCCAGAGGTGGTTTCTACAAAGGCCTTACGGCAGGCCAGAGGACAGATTTCAGTTGGAGTCTGAAATATTATGAACCTCCCTGTGAGGTTGAGAGATCAGATGTTGGGACAGGTGAGCCCAGCCACCCCAATTGCGCTTTCTGATACTAGAGAAAAGACTGAGGGTGGAGGTTTTAATAGATCAATTCTGTCCTAAGAACATGCAGCTTTCCCAAGAGTGGCGAGAGAGGGCTAGGGATCAGCTTTGGAGGTGGCAACATCTGTTCTCAAAATATGAGTTTGATGGGAGCTGTACTAGGAGCAGCCAACATGTAATCCATTTGCAGGGGGATAAGCCCTTTCAAGAGAGATCCTGGCGGATTCCCTTGAGTGACTTAGATGATCTTAGAGAGCATTTAACAGAGTTGAAGAGGACTGGGATCTTCAGGGAATCTCAAAGCCCTTATGTCTCCCCCATAGTGGTGGTCCAGAAGAAGAATGGATCTTTGAGGATGTGTATATATTACACGCTCAGTCGGAGGACCATCCCAGATCTCTACACAACCCCTCGAATAGAGCAGGGCTTTTCAACCTTTTCACCCATTGTACCACTTTTAGGATATGGCAACATCCGAGTACCACCAGTCATCTAGCAAGCTGTCAAAAACTTGATGACCAAAAAAAAAGGAAAAAAGTGATAAAGTACAGGTAGTCCAACAGTTCGCTTAGTGACTGTTCGAAGTTATAGTGGCACTGAAAAAGTGCCCCCCAAATCACAGCCTGCCTGCCTGCCTGCCTGCCTGCCTGCCTGGCGGCAGCGCTCTTCTTCCTGTCTGAGCTTTTCATTGTTGTGAGCATTTCTGTTGAGGATTGGCAGTGGGGGTGCGGTGGGGTGTGTTTGGTTTTTATTCCCCCCATCTGCTGGGTGGTTGCAGCAGGTTTTGATCACTTCACATGACCCTGGGACACTGTGATCGTCATAAAGATGAATCAGTTGCCAAGCATCTGAATGTAAATCACAAGACCCTGGAGATTCTGCAACATTCCAGCTGATTGGCGCTTCTTCTGGGCTCAGCAGAAGTGCCAGGATCAGTGCTGATTTCCAGCTGATTGGTGCTTCTTCAGGGCTCAGCAGAAGCATCAGAATCAGTGCCGAGCTCCAGCTGGAGCCTGGTGCTGATCCTGGCACTGATCCTGGTGCTTCCACTGAGCCCTGACAGCCCCAAAGAAGCGCCAATAAGCTGAAAAGCGGCACTGATCCTGGTGTTTCTGTTCAGCCCTGACAGCCCTGCAGCTCCAGCCATCTCTCGCTCAGGCTTGTGCAGTGCTGCCACCAGTCATCTCATTCCCCTCCCTCGCTACCACTTTTCTAGGTTGGTCGTGTACCACCTGCCAGGTGCCAATGTACCACAGGTGGTACCTGTACCACTGGTTCAAAAGCCCTGGAATAGAGGATGCTTTGCAGTGCTTATCAGGGGCAATATGGTTTAGTGTGCTGGATCTAAGGAGTGGCTACCATCAGATTCCCATGCATCCAGAAGATAGAGAGAAAACTGTTTTCATCTGTCCCTTGGAGTTTTATAAATTCAATTGGATGCCTCAAGCGTCATCAGGAGCCCCGGCGACCTTTCAGAGGCTTATGGAGTGGATGGCGGGAGACATGAACTTGATAGAGGTACTAGTGTATCTAGATGATATTATTGTCTTTGGTGAGACTCTTGAACAGCATGAGGCGTGTTTGGAGAAGGTATTGACAAGGCTCCATCTGGAAGGGTTGAAGCTGTCATTGGAGAAATGCCAATTTTATCAACCATCTGTTACATATTTGGGTCATGTTGTTTCTACAGAAGGGGTATCAACTGACCCCATCAAGCTTAAGGCCATTGTTTCCTGGCCTAGACCCAAAAATGTGGCCAAACTGTGATTGTTTTGGGGGTTCTGTTCATACTATCGGAGGTTTGTTGAAGGATTTGCAAAGATAGCTCGTCCTCTTAATGATTTATTAAAGAATGAAGAAGTAGAGGATGTGCCTGGTCGTCTGAACCAGGCCCATCAAAATAAGGGGCCCAGGAAGTCTCGGGAATCTATTCAGACAGATGTGAGCAAGCCTTTGACCAGTTGAAATGCCCCTGTCTTGGCTTATGCAGATCCTAACCGGCTGTATGAACTACATGTTGATGCTAGTTGGGATGGTCTTGGGGGGGAGTATTGTATCAGGAGCATGACAAACATCTGAAGCCCATTGGATACATCAGCAGGGGCCTAACTTTAGCCGAAAAGAATTCTGTCACCCATAAGCTGGAATTTTTGGCACTTAAGTGGGCGGTAATAGATAAATTAAAGGACTACCTATATGGGGCAGAGTTTGAGGTTAAGACAGACAACAACCCACTTACGTACTTGCTCACAACTGCCAAACTTGATGCCATGGGGCATCGGTGGCTAGCTGCCCTTTCCGGATTCAGGTTTAGCCTGAGGTACCGGCTGGGTGTGAGGAACAGGGATGCAGATGCCCTCTCAAGGAGACCTCACGATCCTGGGATACATGTTGGAGAATGGGTCCAATTGACCTCTGATGGTATTCAAGCATTGTATCAGGGGGTTGAGCACCGACTTCGAGGAGCAGTTGTATATTTAATTGTATTACATAGAAGGATGAGGCTTATATAGAGGTTAAAAATGGTGTATTATCTTTTTGTACCACAAGAAACAAATTATTAGGAATACTTACTCTGGAATGTCACACTTGTCTATTTTTGTTTTCATTGTATTACAAATAAAAAACTTTAAAAAAAATCACATTCCTGTTGCACAGAACTTACTTTTATGTTTCTCCTGAGAAACCCAACTCTCAGTTCCATAACAAAGAGCAGAAGCAAGCTCTTATACACTACACAGCTGTTTTCACTTATTTTGACAAACATTTGTTCTTCAAAGTAGACTGTATCTTATGACTTTCTTTTTACTAGCATTTCTGTTATTTAAATATTTTGATACATTTCTCATGTTTATTTATTTGCTTTACTATTTTAAATTTTTCACCAAACTTTCAATTGTTCATTTTCCTTATCCAAAACAATTTACAGTGGTCTTTGATTCATTAATTTTCAGATTCATGCTTCAGGTTGAGTCATACAATCTTCTGACATTGCAATATTCAGCATGCAATTTCCTACAGGCTGCAAAATAAGAGTTTTATGACAGCTAGCATAAATTTTCACATGTTGCAGCATATTTAAATATTTAAAAAGCTGGGTGGAATTGCTAACACTTCAGAAGATAGACTCAAGATTCAGAAGGATCTTGATGGACTTGACCATTGGGCCCAATCCAAGAAGATGCAGTTTAGTGGTGAGAAGAGTAAGGCCTGCACTTAGACAGGAAAAAAAACAAATGCACAGGTTTAGAATAAGTGGTACCTGGCTCAGCAGTAGTGCCTATGACACAGATCTAGGTGTTCTAGTATACCACTATTTAAATATATGAGTCAGCAATGTGCTGAGCTGCCAAAGAGCCAATGCAATTTGGGACTGAATCAACAAAGGAATTGTATCAAGATTAAAGGAAATGATAGTACCACTCTATACTGCACTGGTGACTCCATATTTGGAATACTGCCTCTAGTTTTGGATATCACAGAATAAAAAAATATGCGGAGACCCTAGAGAATGCAGAGAACAGCAACAAAAAATGATAAGAGGTCCAGAGATGAAATTGTATGAAGAACAGCTAAAAGAACTAGATATGTTTAGCTTAATGAAGGGGAGACATGATAGCAGTCTTCCAATACTTGAAGGGCTGCCATAGCATCAACTTATTCTCCATAGTACCTGAGGGTAGGACAAGAAACAAGGGTGGAAGCTCATCAGAGAGAGAGCCAACTTGAAAATAAGGAGGAATTTCATGATGGTGAAAATAGCTTGCCTCCCAGAGTTTCAGTGCTCCTTCACTGATGGTTTCCAAGAAAAGATTGGATAATCATTTGTCTAAAAAGGTATGGAGACACCTGCCCTGGGCAGGGGGTTGGACGCCAGGACCCCTTCAAGCCCTATTTCCTATTATTCTAAATGCATGTTGCAGCTTCTTCAATGAATAGGTATCCCCTTTCCACTGCAACCTGTCTCTTTGCAGATACATTGAGAATACAGATACAGTGGTGAAGCACCAATATCCACAGCAAGCCACCTTTGCGTAGTTTTATCACTGTACAAACCCTATCCTTATATACTTGTATCCAGATTTCAGGTACAACTATACGATTTGCAAAGTTTGCAGCATGCATCCTGTTGTCCCCACCTTCACTCCACAGATGCATGTGTCTGGAGGATACCAAGTTGGGGAAAACTGGTGTATGTATTTTCTGTGTACAAAGAGGAGTAGCAATAAATATTTTCTTGCCAAACCAATTTTAGTCATCCAGCCCTGTTTAGAATACTTTTGGTACTCTGATATTCTGTTCTAACCCTTCTACTCTTTCTCCTTCAGTATATTGGCAGCTTAGATGTACCTCGGCCAAACAGCAGGGTAGAGATTGTGACTGCTATGAGACGCATCCGGGTAAGTGATGGCAATATTATTCCAGCTTGTTTATAGATCTCTGAAACATCTCAAAGAAAGATTGGGTTACCCTGTTCATTATTTCTGTCATTCAAATGTGTGCACCTTTCAATTAAATACTGGGTATTTGCAGTATTGTCATTGCATTCTGAATATTCTCCATCCTATAAATTCCTCCAAATCTGGCTTTATTTGGGAGGAGAGTAAATTAATATCTCTTGTCAGTAAACAAGATCCTATAGGTAGAATATCGAATGCACTGAATTAACACTGGTGTGATCAGTTTTGAATGCCTTGGAGGATTCATGTACTGTCAGTGGGCCTGTCTCTCTTGCTCTCTGGATAGGTATATATGCATGCACGCACGCACACACACACAGCAGATTTTCTTTCATTTCAGTCAGAGATAATATCTTTTGAAAATCTGGAAGCACATTGCAGTTATCCTTGGAAATACTGGCTATTCTGCATGGCTTGTAAAGGTCAGTCAGCATTTGACAAACTGGGAGGGGGGAAATCGATAAAGAGATGGGATTGCTGAGAGGGAACGTAGAAGAGAACAGTTAAAGCAGTTGGATGGGCAAGGAAGGGGTAATCATAGTTGTATCTTTACCGTGCTACTAGCAGCTCTGGCACAGGGCATTCCCCCTACTACCTAGTTTTTAGCTAATCTGTGGTATAAGAGTGACAAAAGATCAGCCCTGGGCAGAATGAGCTCCCTACACCAGGGGTTAACAACCTCTGGTCTGTAAATTGGCACTGGGCCACAGTATGCCAGAAACCAGGCTGCCCAAACAAGTGAAGCTCCATCTGCAGGATACAGGCAGCATGCAAAACCACACCCCCTCTGGTCTGCGGAAAAACCTCTGTCCACAGAACCGGTCCCTGGTTCCCAAAAGGTTGGGGGCCACTGCCCTAGACTGTAGGTTAGTGTAGAGCTGATTTCTATGCCATGTATAAAATGTATATTAATAATAGATTTAATTATTAGTATATCATTGTTGGCATCTCAACATGATTGGTGGGCATAATTCATTTACAAAATAATCATAAGCTGCTTGTCTCTGCCTGAAGGAGTTTACCATAAGAATTTGGGGCAGAGAAAAATAGGAGATGGGTAGATGGATGAATTAATAGGGGAAGATTATACATTGCTGCCACATTTTGAGAAAGCAGGTTTTGGAGAATCCTTAGAGGGCTTTTAATCTGTATTATAAGGAGGCCTAACAGGTCAGCACTTCTATATCATAGTGGTGGATTCCCATCAGTGTTGAAGGAAGGTTGCTTTGTTTGTTAGAAGACTGGAAATTAAGTATTGTTGACAAAAGATATTTGTTCCGTACAGACATGTATTACTGGTATCTAGATCACTTCTGCTCTTATCATGTGCTTACGAAGAAAATAATAGAAATGACACATATTTCTGTCTTAGTTGTTCTAAATTCCTTCTTTAGATAAGAGGCAGAAAGGATGGAGACTGGTATCACAGAGGTAAAAGAATTAAAGTAGGAAATTTAATAGCTTAATATTTTTTAATATGTAGCAAATCAAGTGTTTACAACTTTGGTATGGTCCTCTCAGTTACTATGAGTTTTATATTATGTGAAGTGTTGTGGAGGCAAATGGCAGGGAACAGAACCAAACTCCATAAAGTCACCAATGAAAAAAATAAAATAATTGAAGTACTAATATTAAGTTGACTATACTTTTTTAGATCTTGCTGGATCTTCCTTTATTTTCCTTTAAAAATGGGAACATTTGTCTTCTCTGGTACTCTGACACTTCACCACTGGTCTCAAGATTTTTCAAAGATGGCACATAAAAAAATCAATCAAACCATCAGTGAATTGTTTCAGTATCCTAGGATGAAATTCATCTAACTTAGGAAATATAAACTAATTCAAAGGAAAAACATTTTTTAAGTCCAAGATATTGTATACATGTGACTACAGCATTCTTAATTACTTTTCCCAAGGTGTAGGAGGATTTCATTTTGTCAACTAGGAATTAATCTTCTTTCCTTGAACTGATAAATACTTGTAGCCTCTAATCATATGAATTTGGTCATTTGCTGTTCCAGTCCTTTGACTTTTTCTTCAAAGACTGCTTCAAAATTTCTATATATTTTTGCTATATATATAATAAATATATATAAAATTTCTATATATTTTTGCTATATATATAATAAATGTATATAAAATTTCTATATATATTTGCTATATACATAACTAGATTATTTTAAGATAGAGAACAAATTAAGCCACTGGATTTTGTGCTTGATTCTGCTATCCATAAACATCACAATGAAAGTTCACTTTCATGTTATTTCTGCTACTTTAAGTTTGTATGCTGCTTCAAAATATGCAGATATTTCTTTTAAACAAAAAAGTAATACTATCTTTTTTATTTAAAATGGGTATAAATAGTTATTGGAATTTGTTTTGCATATTTCAGTGGGACAAATCTAAATATCCATGAAATTGTGAACACCTTTCTAGATAGTGTCCAGATCAATAGGTTCCATATTTTGTAATCACACTTACTTAATTGTTACACTGGTTGTGGCATAAACCTTGAACTAAGATAGTTTTCAAGAATATATGTTTAATTATAACTATATATTCCTATATGCCTATTAATTGTTTTAAAAGAAGAAAATTCTCCAATATATACCAAAGAGCAGACCAGGCACGGGCCAATTATTCTGGATAACTGATGGCATCATCCGATTATTTCTGTCATTGCCATAAACTATTTGTGGTGAAGGGATCACTATAGTGATCACTATGTGACATTATGGGATGTTTAATGTTAATATTACTCTGTGTTGCAGAAATGGCACTACTTGTTGTCTGTATGCCTTGGCAATAATTTCTCCAATCCCCTGCCCAACTTCCCCTGGTCTTCCTTTTTTTTAAAAAACTACACATAGAAAAGGACAACCATCTTTCCTGCCTGCTCTGCCTCTCAACTTGGCCTTTCTTATTCCTCCTAATGGAATTAAACAGGGAGAGAGGAGGGGAGAAGCAGACAGGCAAGTATCAGCACAAGAACTTCAGTTAATATAGAATTTCTTATTATAGCCAAGAAACTGCTTGGTTGGACCTATGTAGTCAACAAAAGTTGAACTTGCATCAAGCTCATCTTTACTCTTTATTTCACTTTGTACTAACATTTTAAAAATAAATTTGGACCAGAAGGAAAAGTCCTTAGTGCAAACATGTCAAACTCGTGTCATCATGTGACGTCGCATGATGTATCGGAGCTTTTTTCTCATTGCTGGCAATGGGGTGGGGACGGTTTCCTGGTGACAAATCCGGCCTGCGGGCCAGCAGTTTGGCACCCCTGTGTAAGGACCCACCCCATTTTGCATCTTAAGAAGACAGAGGTTTTAAGGGGTTCCCCAGTAGCCCCATCCAATCAACCCCCTCTTTCAGCGACAGTCTCAGGCATTACACTTCCACCCCCTTTTCATTACTGCCGGCTGAATGGAGACTTCAAAGAAAACTACATGAAAGGCAATAGCCCCATTCTTATGGTTAGTTCTTTTTGCAATACACACATTCAGTTCCTTTGAAATATACTGAAGGAAGTGAGGGCCATAAAGCCCTTTTGTTCACCCCCTTCCCTTCCTCAGAATCCAGAAGATTCTGCCTTCTCTGGCAGAATCCAGAGAAGGCAGAATTGGGGTTTTCTATATTTGATAACTAGAGATGAAATATAATTGGATTCTGACATCCGGCCCCCTCAAAAATAAGACAGATCCACCCGAAAGAAAACAAAACAGGTATAAAAGTTAGTCAGGCTTGTTAGGATACTCTGTGTGAAACTTCTTTAATAGCTTTGGGGCTCTGATATGGCGTTTATGGACCCACTCGTTTTGTGAGGGAGGGAGGTGTTTCCAGGCAATTAGGTACTGAGTCGCTCCATGAAATCTCCTAGAGTCAAGGATTTCCTTTATTTCGAAGTGTTGTTCGCCTTCCACCATGATTGGAGGTGGTGGTGGTGGGATTTTTGGCCGTAAAGCTGACTGATGCTCTCTTTTCAGCAAGCTGCAATGAAAAATTGGGTGTATTTGCCTGAGATTTTTTGGTAATTCTAATTCTACTGTTACTGGGCTTATGATTCTTTTAATTGGAATAGCCCTATATATTTTGGTCCAAGTTTTTTACAGGGTTGTAGGGACTTTAGATATTTTGTAGATAGGTACACCATTTCACCTATAATGAATGGTGTAGGCTCAACCCTTTTTTATCGGCTTGTGCTTTGTATGCCTGCCTAGCTTCATCTAGTGCTTTTCTAACTATTGGCCAGATGTTTTGTAGTTTTTCCATCCATTCTTTCAGTAATGGGATCGTTGGTTCGTTTGGGGTTAACTCTGGCATGAAACTTTGACCGGTGGCTATTTGAAACTGAGTGTAACCTGTGCTGGAGTGGACTGCATTATTGTAGGCAACTTCTGCAAAAGGGAGTAAGTCCGCCCACTCGGTCTGCTGGAAACTAAGAAAACATCTTAAATATTGCTTAAGTACAGAGTTCATTTTTTCAGCCCCCCCATTTCCTTGTGGGTGGTGGCTAGATGTCAGTCCCTGAGTGGTTCCAAACTTTTTCTGAATTCAATTCCAGTTTGGCTGTCCAGTTGTGGTTTTAATTTGGCTTGGGTTCTTGTGGTTACTGGTGCTGCCAGTTGTGACTCTGCCATTATTGGTTTAGAGTCTGTGGTTCGTGCACTGTTATATTGAGGCATGCGAGATAGTGCATCTGCCAGGAAGTTCTTTCTTCCTGATAAATGTTTGAGCTTAAATTGGAACTGGTGAAAATGCTGGGACCAGCAGGCTTGTTTGGGATTGAGTTTCCTGGGCGTTTTCAGGGCTTCCAAATTTTTGTGATCATCCACACCTGGAAGGGGATTTTGTTGCCTTCCAGGAACTGTCACCATGTGAGTAATGCCCAACATATCCCATATGCCTCCTTCTCCCATACGGGCCAGCACTGTTCTG